TGTGTGTGTGTGTGTGTGTGTGTGTGTGTGTGTGTGTGTGTGTGTGTGTGTGTGTGTGTGTGTGTGTGTGTGTGTGTGTGTGTGTGTGTGTGTGTGTGTGTGTGTGTGTGTGTGTGTGTGTGTGTGTGTGTGTGTGTGTGTGTGTGTGTGTGTGTGTGTGTGTGTGTGTGTGTGTGTGTGTGTGTGTGTGTGTGTGTGTGTGTGTGTGTGTGTGTGTGTGTGTGTGTGTGTGTGTGTGTGTGTGTGTGTGTGTGTGTGTGTGTGTGTGTGTGTGTGTGTGTGTGTGTGTGTGTGTGTGTGTGTGTGTGTGTGTGTGTGTGTGTGTGTGTGTGTGTGTGTGTGTGTGTGTGTGTGTGTGTGTGTGTGTGTGTGTGTGTGTGTGTGTGTGTGTGTGTGTGTGTGTGTGTGTGTGTGTGTGTGTGTGTGTGTGTGTGTGTGTGTGTGTGTGTGTGTGTGTGTGTGTGTGTGTGTGTGTGTGTGTGTGTGTGTGTGTGTGTGTGTGTGTGTGTGTGTGTGTGTGTGTGTGTGTGTGTGTGTGTGTGTGTGTGTGTGTGTGTGTGTGTGTGTGTGTGTGTGTGTGTGTGTGTGTGTGTGTGTGTGTGTGTGTGTGTGTGTGTGTGTGTGTGTGTGTGTGTGTGTGTGTGTGTGTGTGTGTGTGTGTGTGTGTGTGTGTGTGTGTGTGTGTGTGTGTGTGTGTGTGTGTGTGTGTGTGTGTGTGTGTGTGTGTGTGTGTGTGTGTGTGTGTGTGTGTGTGTGTGTGTGTGTGTGTGTGTGTGTGTGTGACGCTTGTCATGTGAGTCTAAATGCAACCTTGTTCTACCATATTTGCTAGGAAGTTCTGCCCTTCCGGTATTGTGAAAGTTTGGGAAAATGGAATTGCTCTAGCGTGTGTTATTGGTCTGAAGAAGGGCTGAGGCTTCCTGCAGCTTCATCTCTGAACGGATTTTGAGTGGACACACTCATTCCCATAGCGCTGCACATCTGAACCAGTTCCGTGATTTACAATGTTTCGGCACTTGGCCATCACCAGGTAATAGGAACAATGAAACCTATCCATTGTTCTTATCAGCTGACGATGGCCAAGTGCCAAAACGTTGTAAAATAACGGAACTGGTTCGAATGTGCAGTGCTATGGGAATGGGTGTGTCCACTCAAATTCCTTTCCATGTATTATCAGTGTTGTGCAATTCCATATTTAATTGTTTCTTGACGTGTAGTTGTGTTTAGTTGTGTGTTCATGTGTCATCTGTGCCTTCTGTATTTTGCTGCTTTTGGAACAGACAATCCGTTTGACCTGGATAGGTTTGTGTGTGACATTCAACCATGGCTGAACAAAGTTGACGCAGATCGACTGCGAAAGGCAGTGATCAAGAAACATCTCATAACTGACAGCACATCAATAGAGAGACTAAAGAGAATTCGGTCCCGGGATGGACAATCTGATCATAATGAGGAGATCATCCAATTGCTCAGAGCTGGTGGCCTAAAGACTTATCGTGATCTCTGTGTTGTCATTGAGGAACTTGGGTATGTGGACAAGAGCAAGGAAATGCTCTCCATTTTGTCCCACACAGGTATGTTATTGCTATACTTTTAACTGGAAATTTTTGTGTGTTTGTGTTGGTGTGTGTGTGTGTGTGCGTGCGTGCATGCGCGCACGCGTGCGTGTGCGTGTGTTTGTGTATGTGTATGTGTGTTTGCATGTTCGTGTATGCATGCATAGGTCAAACCATGCATTTTATAGTGGAAACTTTCAATTAGCCCTTTGGAGTCCATAGCTTTTTTGCTTCCGCAGTATTTGTGCCAGTCATGAAAGTGCGCACTCAATTTCCAACATAACTTTGGTTCTGCTTCACCGATTTTGAAGATCTTGGGATCGTTGGAAAGCTCTTGATGAGAGAAATACAATGAACCCAAACTCGCCAAGAGCAATACTCATTGTCCGCCGCAACGCGCTCCAAACGCGAGTCCAGCTCCAGATCTGAGACGAAATCGGTCTCCTGTAGCCATTTCACTGAATCTACCTCGGAACTGTTCAAATGTTTTCAAGTAGAAGCTTACCTTGCCGTGACTTCGCGCCGCGCCGGTCCTGGCACATGCCGCCTGTCATGAAGCTGGGAAAATCCCATTTTTCACGCCCTGCTGACTCGCAGCACGCATGTTCGATCGCTCGCCGCTCACTCAAACTTGATCAGAGACTTCGGACCTGTTCGAGGCGATAGCTGAGAGTTTTCTCTACCATCTACTTGGTCCGCGTCAGCGATATTGTCGCTTATCTTTTAGCTTTGTTTATATGTCGCCAATGCTTACTTCGCAGCCCATTTCGTCCCAATTTTGGTTAGCAAGTTAGTTTGCTAGTACCTGAAAGGTCTAGCTAGAGTTCGAGTGGATTTCGAGAGCGACAGGTGGGTGATTCTGATTGATACAGCGCCGCATCAAAATAGATTATCTTTTTACGATGTGCAGGCAAGAGCAGCGCAAGCCACAATAAAGTCATCGGCTACTCGGAGTGAGCTCCATTTTGCTGAACGGCCGAGATCGCTCACCTCAGGGATCGTTCATCAAGCTGAGGTCGCAGCTCCCTTACCTCCAGCGCAACGCTCGGAGTATCCAGCGCGTAGTGGAGATTTGCAAGTACTGTACGCGTCGTCGTCGTTCAAAATAAAATCTTGCAAAGAACGGCGTCTGATTTGAACCACACAGGCTGTCGAATTGCCCACGCGAAGTCCTATAGAGAAGGCGACCGTCATGATCTACTTCTCTTTAGAAAATAGCCAGGCAGCGGAGAGGAAGAGAGATGAGCTTGCAAAAGCAAGAGTGTCAATCCCGAGCAAAAATGTTTGTTGCCAGCGCCGAGAGCAGCGACGAGGAGGACCGAAAAAGTAGGAACCCTTCCTTGGACAGTAAATTCCTCGGAGCTAGGTGTCATTCTATACCTTACCGTCCATTGTACCAAGTTTTATCACTTCAAGTGCACGCGTTCATGTCCAAAGTCTAAGTTCAAATTGTCGAAAGATAAGCGACAATATTGCTGACGCGGACCAAGTAGGTCCTTCGATTATTGAATTTGGTCAAGATTTGGCCGCGAACCGAAAGTTTGACTGCGCCCACATGCATACAAAATGTCCATGGTTTCGAACCATGGACGCCAAAGGGTTAATTAAAAAGGGGCAGTACGGAGAGAGATGAAAATCTCAGGGCCCGTTGAGTTTGGTACGCGCAGTCAAATGGTCTTGGTCCCAGGAGGGTCAGCGTGACGGACGTCAGGCGAAATTACTGGTCAGTCGGCGACACGCATTTTTCACAAAAAATTGCGTTTCACCTGCTGGGAGAGTATGCGTCTCATCCTGAGCACGTTTTTTTCTTCTTTTTTCAGCTCCAGTATAGCTGTATTTTTCATTGCAAAGCCGTCCTCGCGACCTCGATTGTTGTGTTCGTTGTTCAAACGAAGTGGACATTCAATCATGAAGGCAGAGGACATAGGAGCCTGATTGGAGTTTCTCGTGACATAGGACGGCCACACAGAGACGCTTTGGGATTTTCTGAATATAAAATACCGTACGCACGATGCTGAGATCAATTTGTGCGATATCAAATTGTTTGTGATCTACCACATCGAGCAGAACGGGATCCAAACACAAGCTTACCGACGGTTAGGCTGCCGACCTGACTGGACAAATGATTCTTGGCTTCACCAGACGCCAGAAGTCGGACACCATGTCCTTTGCCACGACGTCCATCTCCAAAAAGAACACCATCTTCGTCGTGAAAAGGCTTGAAATACTCAATATTCAACCGAGATTCGCGGTCTCATCCGTTCTCAGATCGAATCATTTTTTGTTGTAGCAGTTGCAGGGCAGATCCCTGCCACTACTTCAACAGAAGATGGCTCCAAAGCATGCCTGGAACAAGCCATATCGAGTTTGCAAGCCACCCCTCTCAGCAAAAAATTCGAAGAAATTCGAAATTTCAATGGTGGAAGATATACTATGAAGAGAATTTCAAAAAGTATGTTTCGCGGAGCGATCGCTCAACCTACGTCATTCAAACTTTGCAGGATGGTTCAGACGTACATGCTAGGCATGGAACCACAGAAGATGATATCATAGCTGACACACAGAGTCACACACACAGCAGATTCGTGTGCACAGATACTAAATTAGTGGACGTCGTCATCTTCTTCCCGCTGATCTCAAATGTACTATGACGTGCTATTTCGCCTGACGAAGACGTTTCATCACGTTCCGTTGCAAAGCGAGTCGGACTCCAAGCAGACATTGGTGTGCTTCTGCGGTGCCATCGTCTTCGCTGGTTTGGTCACCTTGCCAGGATGGATTCCGCCCGTCCCCCCAAGCAGGTGCTTTTCGGGGAACTTCCGTCGCGGTGCCCCAGTCATGGCCCCAGGAAGAGATGGCATGATGTCGCTAGATCTGACCTGGTCGTGGCAGGGATCCCGGAAAATGACTGGTATGATGTAGCACAAGACAGGGGAGAGTGAAGGAAGTTGTCTTGTCGTCGTCCCCGTCCTCCTCCTCCAGATCTAGCAAAGAGTTTTCAGTGCATGTATGGACGAACATTCCGCCGGATGGGTGACTTGAAGCGCCATTCCCCATATTACTCACCTCGCATGCTATCATCGCACTAGCCGTGTGTGTGTGTGTGTGTGTGTGTGTGCGTGTGCGTGCGTGTGTGTGCGTGCGTGCGTGCGTGCGTGTGTGTGTGTGTGTGTGTGTGTGTGTGTGTGTGTATGTGTGGATCAATGAAAAACTGTATCCAAGTTTAAAACAGGGAGGCTCCAGGCGGTCCAACAGGGTAGGATACTCAATACCGAAAGGCTAGTTCAGACAATAATATGAGGATGAAAAAATGTTTTAACTCTGAGTTTCATGTACTAAGTGATCATCAGAAAACAGCAATGAGTAACTCTGGATACTGGTTTAAACTTTTACTTTGTGGGTATATAAACCAGTATCCAGAGTTACTCGTTACTGGTTTCTGATGATCACTTAGTGCATGAAACTCAGAGTTAAAACATTTTTCCATCCTCTTTTTATTGTTTGTATCCAAGTTTATCCAAATTTGTGTATCCAAGTGGATGCACAAATCCAGCCTGGTCGCGACATAAAACGTTCAGCCCTAAGTGCTGACCCAGTGCACGGCAAAAATAATTTGCACAATGTCACATGAAATCTCTCTTCTTGTTTTCTGTGTTGTTAGGTGGCAAGTCCCTATCAACGGAATGTGAAGATGTGGATGATGTACCTTCACAAGTACTACATGCACAGAAACTACTCAAGGATCAATATTGCCGTGCCAAGGATACCTTTGCTAGTGAAATGCTCCCGGTTGGTGTATCTCCAACTGTTGAACACGTTGAAGCCAACTTTGTGATGCTGAACAAGTCCAGTCTGAGTAAGGAGTTCAAACAAAACAACTTTGTTGCATCAAGCTATGATATGTGGAGAGTTGAGCATGCTTTCACTGATGCTGGTGAGAAGATGACATCAGTTAAATTGGAGTCTCTTGGTAACAACACGATGAAAGACAATACAACACAACAAGGAGACACGCTGGGAACAATGGCGGTAGCCAGTGCAGGATGTGGCAAGACGTTTGTATTTACCAAGGTTGCACCTCTACGATGGGCGATGGGCCAGCTGTGGAAACGCAAGAAACTGGTTGTGGCAAGGGAGTTACGTCGTAAAGATGTGCATGATGCTGAATCACTGAGTGAGCTGCTGTATCTTAAAGGAATCGGCATCGAGGACAGTCATGACCGCCAAGTAATCTGTGCTTACGTACGTCAGCATCCTGAGTGCCTAACGCTTATCCTGGATGGCTTGGATGAGACCAAACTGTCTGATTTGAGCAGCTTTCTTCATCGCGTAATAGCTGGGCATGAGCTACCGGGTGCTCATATTCTTGTCACATCGCGGCCCTGTGCCGATGCCTTCAGCCTTTCAGCATTGCCTTTCTATCGACAACATGTCGAACTGGTTGGCTTCCGTCCAGATGATGTTAAAACCTATATTAAGAAAGTCCTCCGACCAAAGAAGGCCAGCGAGCTCATTACTGAAGTTGAACGTTCTTCATATTTGCAGGGGATGATGGCCACACCGTTCATTGCGAAGGAAGTGTGCATCCAGTACCACTGTTCAAATCACATCCCGCGATGCTTAGCCGATCTCTTTGACCAGATGATAATTCAGATCCTTGAACGCAAAAGTGGGAACAGTTACAAGCAGTGGAGTTCAATACCGAAGCAAATCCGTAATTCAGTGTTTGAGATTGGAGAGTTTGCGTTCAGGATGCTTGTGAAGAAGCAGCTGATATTCGATGAGAGCGACATCCAGCAGCATTCGGTCAGTCAAGATGCGATGCGGCTTGGTCTTCTTGTGACTGATGAAGAGTCACCTTCCAGGAAGGAACTCAGGCAGTATCGCTTCAGCCACCTTACAGTGCAAGAATACCTAGCTGCCCTCTTCCAAGCGCACCACAAGCCAATGACTAAAAACAGGATCACACGACTCGTTGAATGTCTTGGTTCAGAAAGTGCGCACATGAGAACGTTCTGGTTTCTGCTGTGTGCCCAGCTGGAAACTGTGCGCCAGGCTGACTGCTTGGTGAACGCATTGCTGACCAAGGAGAAAACAACAGAATGGGATGGGGACATGGACGAGCTTGAGGTACTTCTTTCCGATGAGTTTCCACTGAACTTCATCTTGCCAATGTTAGATGTTCTGAACGCTTCATCGAGATGTCAACTTGCAGAGGAACTACTGCGTGATCGCTTTGGTGGTCATGGTGCAAGTGAGTACATTGAATCAAAGATCAGCAAAGAATGTGCTGTATCTACTACCCACGACGATGTGACATATCTGCGATTTGCTCTGCTTGAATGGCAAAACTCAGCTGCTAAAGCCACTACAGACAGTCTTCTGCAGTCTCTGGGAAATGTCAGTCCAGAGCTTCGTCAGCATTGTGAGGATAGTCTTGGTGGACAGTACATGAATACTGATGGCTCAAGTCTACAGGGTTATAAAGTAAGTAAGTCACGTCAGATTCTTGCATACCTGTGCTACTCAGAGCTTGTTAACCATCAGAAGATGAACAATTGCCAGATGCCATCTATCAGAGCATTACTTGCTTCCAACCAACTCGTCATAGATGGCAATTCACATCCAGCTGAACACCGTGCCATTGATACAGCACTGCAACATCATCCTGATGCTGTACAGCGTGTGGCAGTGGATGACTGGTCATCAGACCACTCAGATCAGTTCCCACGCTCACTAGGTCAGTGTAGTGGAATAAAAACGCTATACGTGTTTAGAGTGATGGAGGACACTGCAGTTTCTGATACGATTCAACAGTGCATTCAGGCGTCTCATGAAAGTCTACACGTACTGCACCTGGTCGAGTGTACTGATAATATCGTGGCCAACGCCATTCTTGCTGTCTCATCCTGTAAACAACTTGAGGACATCGAAGTGGGTCGGTGCGAACCTACACCCATTACTGGAGTTACCATGGCGAATGCACCGTCTGCGATGACAAGTGTCACTTCTATCACCATGACGGAGATAAATGACCCGGGCGTTAGTGCCACCACCCTGTCAACATTAAAAAACCTAACATTACTATCTCTTTGGAACTGCGGACTAACAGCAAGATCACTACCTGCCATTATCAATGCTCTACAGTGCTTGCCACAGCTGGAGAAGTTGTATCTTAGTGGAAATGACTTGAGTGACATGAATGCAGATTATGCTACCACCCTGCCTTTGGTCAGCCTGCATCTCACAAACCTCAATATCAGTGATTGTGACCTCACAGTAAGATCACTACCTGCCATTACTCCAATTCTACAGTGCTGTTCACAGCTGCAGGTGTTGTATCTTAGGGGAAATGACTTCAGTGACATGACTGCAGATGATGCCACCACCCTGTTTGTGACCAGCCTATCAGCATGCAACCATCTCACATGGCTGGATATCTGTAATTGTGGCCTCCCAGCAACAGCACTACCTGCCATTACTACTGGTATACAGTGCTGGACACAGCTGGATAGGTTGTACCTCCATAGCAATGACTTCCATGATGTCACTGCCAGCCAGGCTACAGACTTCATTGCAGCTGTGAACAACCACACAAATATCTCAGAACTCCTCATGATTGCTGATGAAGAGATGGAAGATGAAGAGATGGAAAATGAGCACTACACCCGACTGCTATCACCTCAGTCATACCTCAAGGACTTGGAAATTAAGGACTTTGTGGGTTCCGATGACAGCAATGACAGCAACAGCAGTAGCAGCTATGACAGCAACAGCAGTAGCAGCTATGACAGCAACAGTAGTAGCAGCTATGACAGCAACAGTAGTAGCAGCTATGACAGCAACAGCAATATCAGCTAGGACACTAACGGCATTAGCAGCTATAACAGCAACAGCAGTAGCAGCGATGACAGCAACTGCAGTAGCAGCTATAACAGCAAGAGCAGTAGCAGCTAGGACATCAACAGCAGTATCTGTAGTGATGACCGCAACAGCAGTAGCTGTAGTGGTGACACGGGTGAAAGATATATCCGAATTGATGATTACATGAGCAGTGGAAGCCATTACAGCAGCAGCAGCAGCAGCAATATCAGCAACAGCGATGACCACAGTACCAGTGGTCACAATTGCAGCAACTGCAGTAGCAGCGGCAAAGGCACAGCAAGCATGCAGTACTAGTACTACCAACAACAATAGCAGCAGCAGCAACAGCAGCAGCAACAGCAACAGCAGAAACACAGCAGCGACAGTAGCAACGGATATGACTTCAGCTGCAGCGATAGCAGCGGATATGATTTCAGCTCCAGCGATAGCAGTGGATATGACTTCATCAACAGCAGTAGCAGTGGATGTGACTTCAGCAGCAGTAGCAGCGGATTTGACTTCAGCGAAAGCAGTAGCAGCAGATATGACTTCAGCTGCAGCAGTTGCAGCAGCAGATATGACTTCAGCTGCAGCTGTAGCAGCGGATATGTCTTCAGCAACAGCAATAGCAGTGGATATGTTTTCAGCAGCAGCAGTAGCAGTGGATATGTCTTCAGCAGCAGCAGTAGCAGCGGATATGACTTCAGCAGCAGCAGTAGCAGTGCATATGTCTTCAGCAGCAGCAGTAGCAGCGGATATGACTTCAGCAACAGCAATAGCAGCGGATATGACTTCAGCAACAGCAGTAGCATTGGATATGCCTTCGGCAACAGTAGCAGCATCAGTGACCGTAGCAACAGCAGTACCAAAGGTGAAGGAAGCAACAGCTGTACCAGAGATAACCATAGCAACAACTGAAGCAGTGGTGATGGCTGCAACACAGACAGTGGTATCAACAACAGTGGTGGCGATGCTCACTGCAAGTGTGTGAATTCGTTGCCGACATTTGGTGACATGGGTAGCAACGTCAGAGAAGTGCAAAACCTGGACTTGAAAGAACTCGCATTCTATTTGCAACGTCTTCCCGGTCAATACACATGTAAGTTTCCCTTTCTGATCTATCAACTGCTCCCGAATATTACGCAAATGACCAAGTGTAAATTTCTCCGTAATAGATGTTCAACGGTCGCACAACGGCTAGATTCATTTTTATCTTTCAATGAGTTTGGTCCGATGTGTGAATTTTTATCTTTCAATGAGTTTGGTCCGATGTATGACTAGTGCTTCCTCCGGAAACAAAAACTTCATGACTTTGATAGACCTGTCTGTTCTGGTGAATAGATGATATGCCAAATAACGTGCAACTAGACTTGGGAGGGCATCGCACACAAGTTGCATACAAATTACACTACGATGTGTACACGATAGGCCCTGAGCTCTGCAGGAATACAAGTTACAGGTAACCGTACAACTTTGAAAATGTATGCAACTACTCTGCAATGCCCTCTCAAGTCTAGTTGCACGTTATTATCAATAGACACCAATACACACATACACACACACACACACACACACACACACACACACACACACACACACACACACACACACCACACCACACCACACCACACCACACCACGCACGCACGCACACACACACACGATTAGAGACTTCAGGAGGTTCGCGACGGTTAGCGCCATGTTGGATTTCCGAATTTTTTTCTGAAAAATAGTGCCTTTCGGAGTGGAAAAATGGGACGCGATCATGCACAATCGAGTAAAAAAATAAGCTGTTTGACCATGACTTCGCAGCGCGTGCTCGAGTCGAGACAAGATTTGAGGAAGAAGCTCAGCCACTAGTGGACTTGCGGATTTGTTTTGACATCGGCGGTTTTTGGATAGCTTGGTTCTCCTGTCGACGTGTCGTGGAGATGAAGACGCGGGAGAGTAATCTGTCACCCACGACGCGGCCTCGCATTCTGCGTACTGGACGATTCAAGAAGCCGAGGAGGGGGACGCTTCGCAAGCTCAAACGATCGATCAAGTTTCTGAAAAACGGAAAGGGCGATCTCCACCACCAACGCCACTGGATTCGACTCCCGCGAAGAGGTCGTTCAGTGCCCCTCTTCACGGTCGACGAATCGTTCATCTCAGGTATCTGGCTCAGTGTGGGATTGTCTGCGTGCCAGAATCCTGGATGTGGCAAACCTCTGGCGCTCATTGATTGCGTTGAAGAGAAGAGGTACGGCCTGGGCAGCGTACTTGTCATTCCGTGTCCGCAGCAGTGTGGGATGGAGAATTTTATGGATACAGATAGCCCTGTAACTGCTCAACACCCTGGCCCCCGTGCTTCCACAAGCAACACCAAAGCTGCTTTGGGTAAGTGTGTTTTTCAATCTCATAAGATTTATTCATGATATTTGGGAGTCATTGCCACCCTATGGCTATGGAAATGTATGAGCACACTGCATGCGCGGCGCGCGCGAGCGTGTGTGTGTTTGTGCATGTGTGCACCATACACATGTATGAACATGCACATGCATATGTGCTCATGTGGACGTGCCCTCGCACACATACTATACACACGTGCATGACCGCTCCCAGGGCATGTTGGTGTGACATGTGTATGCGGGCATCTCCACTCATGCACATGAGTGTGCACATGCATGTGGGTGGGTACGTACACGTGCGTGAATGTATGTGTGTGTACGCGCGCGTGTGAGAGCATGTGTGTGTGTGTGTGTATGCCCGCTGCTTTCGGACTGTGCAAGGCCGCAGTCGTCACCGGTGCTCGAGGACTGGCCCGCGCCCGACTGCCCAGCAGCGTAATTCGTTCAGTCATGTATGCGTGTGTTCTCTCCGGTTCCGTTTCCTCCACCATCTCCGGCGTCATCAGGCTGCGTGCTCCATCTTACTCTATGATGCCCCTCCGGGGCCCACGTGACCCCTGTGGCAGTGGCTCTACAGGACAGGACAGGTGTGTGTGTGTGTGTGTGTGTGTGTGTGTGTGTATGTGTATGTGTGCACGCATGTGTGTGTCAATGGTGTGCATTTTTGTGCTGGGTGAACACTCTGATCCCTAAACCGCGATACCGGAGCTCCCAAGCTACAGCCTCAGATTGATTTATAGTTCATCGTTGGGAATGAGTTCGCTGCTTATGATGCTGTTGCGGATCACGGTTGCGGCCCTAGCTGAAATTGTCGAAGCTCGCCCTGATGCCAGTATCCTGTAGCACTCTGTCACTTTTGCATCAGCATGTTCGGCGGTGGAGTTTGCAGAACATCAGCAAAAGCAGCTGGCCACCCTTCAACCGCTGGTCCAAGCAACGTGCTTCTCTAAATCAGTTGCAGTGCGGGCAGCTGCTAGTGGGTTGGTGATGACGCACTTTGTCTTGTCCTACAAACAAAATGGTGAGCTACCCATTCCCAGACTGATGAAGGAGCAAGTCGGAGGTAAGAAGCGGGTGACAGCCTCAAGGAAGATTATATTAGTGGTGGCTGAACAACTAGCCAAGAACCAGCAGCGACCCAACTGTAAGTAATGCCCTGTGGCACAGTGCTTCACTTTTTTGTGCGCACCGTAAAATACCATCATTTTTGCCAGTGTGGGGACACGTTCTAGCTTGCATAGTTGAAGAACAAGAGGACTCAATGTTGTCTGATTCGTTCCAACATGCCAGCTTTCATTGTAGTTTGATATGGGGCTGTGCTAAGTGCTATCACAGCTACATGTTTCATGTATCAAAACCAAGTACCAACAGGAGAGTAATCATGGAGAAAAGTACCTATCGATAATGCGTGCACCCAGGGTTTCCCGGCAAATTCACTAGTTCAGCTATTCCATCCTTGTACTGTTCTAAACGCCGAGGGCTCTAGTGAGTTTATTGAACACCTGACAGCCAAAAATCCAATAAGTTATGACCAAAGCAGCAGCAGAGAAGTACATGCAATATAGATATGTGAATTTACCAATTTTAGGCAAATTTTGACAGTTTTTTGGATTTTTCTCCAGAATATGCACGGTGACCCCTATTTTCGCCGCGGTAAACCTGTTCCAACCCACTTATAGAACGTATTTGAA